AATTTGCCAGTCCTTATACGGTTTTTGAGACTATCTCCCTCTTAGTTTAGGAAAAATAAGCATTTCCCAAAATATTTAGGCCCTTTTTTCAGAGGACTTGTTAAACAGCTCATATAAGGCGTTCTTGAATATCAAAGTTAAACATAATAAACAGTTTTGAATGTTTTTGCCCAGTTTAATTTTGACAGTTTTAAAATTTATTTCCACAATTTAGACATTTCAAAGTCGACCGTCTTTTCTGGTTGCGGGTGAGCAGTGGCCAACGGGTAAAAAATACCCCCCCCATTTTCTCAGGTCAACAAAAGTGCCTGGAAATCTTTGGATATCTATTGATACAGCCGGGCTTATTAAATTGCAAAGTTAAAAGTCAATCTGACCAAGCATCTTGTAATTTGGTCATTATATATTCCGTGTTTCGGTCCATGACCGAGCACACTGTTCCAGCCATATTATATGAGGCAGACTTCTACCCAGTTTTTTTGGTTAAACGGAAGACTGTTTTACCTTTTAATCGAGCCAGTTTCATAGCCAATGCTGTGACTGCACCTAGAGCTGCCACTCCTAGCATAATTCCGTAGCGGGGCATCCATGGGTCTTGTGGTACAGCAGGTGGTTGAAAAAGGCCAATCTACGACGGTAAGAGAAACAAACAACAAACAAATAAATACAAAAATGCATTACAAAATTACAAGGCACAAGTTGAATGCTTGTATCAATCTGTTTCATCCCCCAAATACTTTCTTTCTAATTTTATATTTTTCTAGAAAATATAAAAGTTATTCAATTTTCATGAGAAATCGACCAAAAACATCAGCCCGTGTTCATTATTTTATCATTACTTTATAAATTCCTGCCCAACAATCAGCATCGATGACGATGATGTACGGACCAGGAGCCAATCTGCTTGGGGCTGTATCATAAGTCCAACTCCTCATAGGTCCGACGCCTCGTAAGTCCAAAATTTTGGACTGATGAGGCGTCAGACTTATGAGTCATAACATTTATTTATTCCGCCTCATAGGTCCGACGCCTCGTAAGTCCGACGCCTCATAAGTCCGACAACGGAAAAACTAGGGGTTCAATTTGTCGCACTTACAAGGCGTCAGACTTTTATAATCTGTTAGATCTCTGAGGTATTTAAAAAAACATGGAGTAAACTTGTTGAACAAAATCGTTGGAAATGTATAATTTTGACTTGTTTTGACTGTTTGATCAAAAAGGTTTTTATGAATGGGAATAAAGATGTGCTTGGCTGGTACTAAACACTATGTTTAAGACCGGTTCTGAGTCTTGACACTGATAATGACTATTGCCTTCAGCCTTGGGTAATTATCAGCGCCAGACTCCAAACCGGTCTTAAAACATAGTGTTTAAAACCAGCCAAGCACACATGTATTCCCTTATGAAAAGTGTGCTGAAATGAGCCTCACCCATCCGCCATTTTGGTTGATCCATGCCAGCAGGTTGGCATTGATGTAGTCGATGGTCCACTGAGCCACTTGCTCCACCAGTTGCGGCATCTCATTCCGGACGCAGTGGACAACAAACACACCGCTAAATGCCAGCAGGGAACAGATCCGCCCAGCGGAGGCCTGGACGCTGTTCCCGGTCCCCTGGGCATTCTGACCGCTGTGGAACAGCACATGGACAGTGCTACGAGGAAACAGGACAAAGGACAGTTAAGCTCTCAGCAGGGAATCTGTTTCTGCCCTATATTAGATCTCTCAGATGACGCCACTCGCCTACAGATTATCACGTGCATCAGCAATGGAGTCTTTTTTTCGTGATGTGCATCACGGCTGTGCCGTACTTATTTCGAAGAAATTTCGAGGAATATTGGGGTGTGCTTAGAATATTTTGCCATAGATGTGGGAATAAAAAGACTAGATTGGTGCCTCAGTGGGCATGCATAGACACCCATATATATGTCTTTGCCTATTTTTGTGGTCATCGATCATGGACGAGCAAAAAATGGACGTTAAGTACATGCAGGCTTACAGCTAGATGTAAATTTCCAGCATGTGACATAGCTAAACGTGCATTATGCGCGTAAATGTCACGTTTGGCGCGCGTTTTTTGTATCTTTCCTCTGGCATGTGACCCTCCAGGCAAGACAGCACGTATGCACGCCCTACCGATCCAGTCTCTTTATTCTAAATCTATGCATTTTACACACTGTGCGTACACTTACGCAGTTTTAATTTGCCTGCGAAGATGGCCGTCTATTGTTCATAACTATGAGAGGGGGGCATTAGTTAGTTCGATTTATAAGCCCCTTGCATCCGAAAAAAACACAAAGTGGTTCCAGAATGATGACTTCCAAAGACCGAGAATCGCAGCTGCCATAAAAACGATTGTCTTCATAGGCTGCGGACAAGGTGGAGGCGAGGGTCAAGGGGGACATTTACCCTTCCAATTTCAATTTTATTTTACTCTGTAGCACAGTTTTGGAATCCCTCTACAGCGATACATACTGTTACCCTTCACTTTCAGAAACTTTTAGCCGAAAAGCACACTTAATCTTGGACCAATTACGATAATTAAGAACAATTCTCTCCTCACCTGTGGAATGTCGATGATGCATTGGTCGGTGTGAGATGAAAACTGTCTGTGATGGCTTCACCGTTCATGTTGCGCTGGTATTGCACCTCGATCTTGCGGGTCTCCCTCCTCAGAGCGTTCTGAAAGGGTGTCGGAGGGTCACTGCGCTCTGGGGCCTCGGTGAATGGGCACTGAAGTCCTTCGCTGTTCAGTTTGTAGCGCAGGTAGTCTGCTACCACACTCTCTGTTGTCAGGTCTGGCATTGCGTCGTTGATGTTTGGCCCACTACACTGTCGATTCGTATGACTTTTTGCCTTCTGCAGTATTAAGAATCCCTGTTGCATAATCATAGATTGTAACATTAGTCTCAAAGGGCATTACAATAAAAATACTTTCCATCATGCCATTATAATCAAAGTATGATTGGACAAAATTCTATTGCAATACTCCTGATATTTCCACATAACCACAAAGATTGGTGGTGTTTACCACAAAGATTGGTGGTGTTTTGCTCAACGGGGTCTATCTGCTGTTCCCCAATACCTATGTTCCCCCAAATCCTTAGGGTTAGGGCTAGAGGGTTACGGTGAGGATTTCAGGGAACATCGGTCGGGGAACATCGGTATTGGGGAACATAGGTATTGGATGGGGAGCATATGTATGCACCCCGCTCAACTGCATGTTGAAAAAAAAACTGAAAAAAAAAACAAAACAAATGTCGGGACCATTGTGTATGTGAAGTTCTGCATATAGCACTTTCAAAATCTAGAATATGAAAGCCCAATTCATAAGCTTTCTTTTAGTACAAGAATCATTCAAATCACTCATGTACTTTTCAAGTTACTGTAGACACAACCGTACGGTATTAAAGTTCTGTCCATGGATCACAAAAAAGGTGTGTCCTTTTAGCAAAACGAAAACAAATGACATACAGATGCATGTGAATTGTTTTTGTTTTGCTGAAAGAATGCACATATGTGTAAAAAAACAAGAAAGATGTCCCTACTTCTGATCCTAAATAACTGTTGTTTATAATTACCAGTGGAATGAAACTAACATTTCAGATCACGTAAACAAGGCATGACAAATTTTATGGCGTGAGTTTCATCAGCTTTGTGCAAGAGGGTGAGATTTAAATGCCATATATGAAAACGAAAGCGAGTAAATATTTTTTGTGTGGCTTTTAAATCTCACTCTCATGCACAAATCTGAGGAAAATCAGTCCATAAAATTCGTCATGCCTTGTTTACAATGAAATTTCGGTTTAATTCCAAAAGTAGGACATGTTTCTTTGACATGTAGTTGTTGACTTACCAGTAGCAAAAGGAAGAGCCGTCACTGTACTATACTGTATGAAGTCTAGCTCGCAATCGTAATAATGTCACACAAGTTGATCTCGTGAAGCCTATGTTATATGCTGGTCTACATAATAATGATCGATTTACATGTACAGTCACAGATATAAGCTCTAACCACTCACATACACGAACAATTATGATGACATTACTTTCTATTCTGAACGAGATTACCAGTAGGCCTACTCATGTTTCCGGTTGCAGCTCTCAGTTTTATTCAGGGGATTTCCTTGAAATTTACCAGGGCATCAGCAACGGTTTCAGTGCTATATATAGGCAGTCCATGCAGCAGACTTCCTATGTGACAGATGCACATGATTTCTGGAAACTACTTCCAATTATGCAGGGTCACATTATAAGTTAGTGAAGGCATAACATTTTTTACAAAAATGTTTCAGAAATTCAGATGCTTTCTATACTAGCTTTTCTAACGTTCAATTATGCACTTTAAGGTTTTGTGGTCATCAACTATAGTACATGTACTACTAGTAGACAACTACCCGGAACTATAAAAAAAACAAGGCCTGCTCCTGTGTAAGGCAATATTGTGTAAGCTAAATATGGCCATTTTAAGTGACCTAATTTTTCAATTAAAAAAAAAATAAATAAAAAGGCCCTTACCCTCCTCTTTGTGAAAAAAACCCTGTATGATCAATGTATTTTTTTGTGCTGGGGCTATTAAGATATCATAGCAATATAGATATCAGTCAGAGGCCGATCCAGATTGTGATCAAGAGGGGGCTTTAACCATGTTAACTGTCAAACTTAATAGGTATTTGCTTTGGTATTCTGCATGATTTTCCTCTTTCTTTCTTGCGGTCCAAATTAAGGGGGGGGGGTTTAGATTCCTTAATAAACCCCTCCTCCAGTAGATCGGCCACTGACATGACTGACAGGTACACAAAACAAATTTCTAAGCCAATTGGAAGTGCAGCCCACCCCCCCCCTCTTCAAGGAACAAACACCCTCTCCGAAAATTTTGCAAGAACATCCCCACATTCTAAAACTTTCCCCACATTCTAAAACTTAAAAAGTTCGAAAGCATCATTTCACTTAATGAGAAGAATTTTGCAAGACAAAGACTCCCGAGTGTTTCGAAATTACTTTGCATAAATTTGTCCTGTTCACCGATAATTCTAAGTAATTAAATAACCACATCCTACAAATTTTGTGGTATGACCGACCATTTTGCGATTTTTAAGCTGCAAAAGGAAATCCGAATATGTAGTAATTTTTTGTATAATTCCCAAAACGTAAACATAGTTTTGATTAATTTTTTATAGATGTGTAACTGAATCCTGCCTGACCAGCTCATTGTCTGGTTCAATGTCACTCCTAAGTGTGAAATGGATAAACTGAATCAGGTGGCTAAAAATGCGTTGTGTAATTGGAGTTAAGTCGAATGACATGAAGACAATTTATGATAAGAGAATGAGGAAGCTTGTCGAAAATATTGTTAAGGATATGCACAAGGGAAAGAAAGTTGCAACCTGACGCCACTTCAGCGGTTGTGTACAAAGTTTATGGAGAGTCAAGACAATTTTCTAAGTGTTTCCTAACAAAATTGGAAATGTTTCTCAGTCCCAGATTCATGTCTTGTCATCATTTTTGCAACTTCTGACCTGAAATGACAGAAATTTTCAACCGTTGTCAAGTAAATCCGTGCTCAAACAGAAGACGGAGCTTTTCGACTACTTTCGAGAGCAAAGTAGACGAGACACAGTACTGGTGTGCATGCATATGGTGTGAAGTACGCACGGCTAGCATCTCACTGTGAGTGCCAGGCGTCCTCGACAATGAGTTCAGATATCCTTCTCAGCGGTCTCCCCAAATCTCCCTTTGTTACCGTTAAGGGGGTTCTTGTACACCGAGCCCACAATTTTTTCCTTCGGGTCTCTTTCAAGTTTGACACACTTCACTTTCCACTGGCGTCTTTCTTAGGCTGAACGTTCCCTTTCCTTTTCTTTTGGTTTTTCTTGGCAGAGGATTTTCCTGCTCTGGTCTCCGGAGCTGAACTGGACTGAGCAGATCTCCTCGTGTCTTTGGCTTTCTCAGCATTAGTTCTTTTTCTCGGCTGGGATTTTTTCGTGTCCTTCTTAGCAGAATCTGTCCACAGATGGCAGAAGGTGCCAGGAGCCTGATACCTGTTCAAATATGAAATGACGATTACTTGCGGATTCGGGTTATTACAGTGGTCTCTCGTCGCCTTCCAACTCTATGGCTTGGGTTCGAATCCTGCCCAGGTACATGTTTGGTGTCACTTTTCTGTCCAGGGCTACTTGATTCTGTGGTTTTCCTCCCATCTCTAAAACTCAACATATCTTGATTGTCTCAGGTTTCTTCAGCCCCGTGAGCTACAGTGCCTCAAAGGCAGACTGGACCATTTGTAGCTATTAAGAATACTGCAAGTTAAACTTGTGCAATCCCCTTAAGGACCCAAATGGAATGGGGTAAAAAGGAGTGAATGAATAAACAGTTGCTTCAGATCTCAACTATTCTTAACAATCCTAATACCCTTGTGGATATGACAAACTTGTCAAGTTCATGAAATTGTAAAAAGCTGAATTCTTGTTTTAACATCTTACTGGTAAAGGGATGGTCTAGAGTTCGAATCCAAACAACTTCCGTGGAGTCTTGCATTATATCTTACCCTGGTTCACTGGCATCCAGTGATTCCTTCGACAGTAGAACAGCAATAGCCGGTATGTGTCTGGTTACTTTGAGTCTAGGAAACGGAAGAAAAAGACGCAGGATAAAAAATGGAACATCAAATCACAATCCAAAACATTGCTCATCACACTATGGAATTTTTGGAGCTTTTATTTTACCTCACTTTACCAACCACAGATTCTGTCTGTTGATTTGCGGAGAGAAAGTATTGACAATTTTTACCGTATATCTTGCTGTGCATACCAATTTTTTTTTTATTTTTACATAATGCTTAAAGGTACAGTCCATCATTTGCAGCTATCCAAAAAGTAACTGACGTAATTATTGTTGAAAAGCATACTTGGTTTTTAAAGATTGTAATGGGACTAAACTCTGTGAAATTATTTTCTGGCAAGCTGTCGTTTTGAAGTTCGTTTTTTTTTTGGATAGCTGTAGTTTAGCCCACTCTACCTTTGAACAGTTTCCTTGCAAATATTTATTTACTTAGTCTGCATTAGCCTTGAATTCACTTTCACTTTCAGTTTCTGATTCTCACGCTTTCTAGCAAGGAACTCCTTCCTAAAGTTTTATACAGGGAAAGTTCACACCCTATATACAACATTTGCAAACATCAAAAAACAAAATACCAAATTTTTACGAAATACCTTACTAGGATGTTGGTAAATGATGGTCTTAAGCATCTTGTAAAATCATGGCACCTGGTGTGAAGTCATTTTCAAGAAAAGTGGTATTTTATTGTAAATTTCCAACGGTGGTCGGCCGACCACCATTGGAAAAACCTAACTATTTTTCAACTACTGCTCCAAAGTTACCATTTTTGTTCAGTCCAAATGTTGTTTGCTATTGGTTACATGTTCATGAATGGGTGCAGGCCAGCTAGACTGATTCCCTTACCTTACAGTTTTCCGGCATCTATAAATTGATCCATATCATCTTTAGTGGAGTCAGAGAACCAGACTACTTTTAGTTTTTCTTGGTTTTTCCAGCATTTATGAACACAAAACTTCAAACATGTCAGTGTAACAATATTTGATCTATTATACTAACCCCTCAAATACTTCATTACTGAAAATTACAGCAAAAGCCAATGATGTACATTCCCTTTAAATTTCAAGCAATTGCCTCATTTCCTGTACGTTGTGTAATTATTTTGTTGTACATTTTCCCTTTTTTTATATTCTAAGAGTGAATCTAATAATGCTAAACACAAGGTCATCTTGTTAAGACAGTCAAAATGAACGTTTGGGTATTGAAACAGCACAAAATGTATGGTATAAAAACAAGGAACTGGATGATCCGAAATCGACTATAATGAGTTTGTGTTCTAGTTTCGGTTGGGATTCCCACGCCTAAAACTGCTTTGGGGAAGTACCTAGATGGTTTCAATTTCATGTGAATTAATGACAACGTGGTGTGAGTAAACGGTTGCCCCTACATACATGTATGCACATTTGTATACATGTATCATTCATCATTCATGGTACACTCAAATTTAACACCCGAAATTACCAAATATGCTGTTCTTGTACATGTAATCTGGTTCCCTGACCCTACTTCAGAGGAAACAGTGCAATTTATAAATGTTAGGAACTGACAGGTTAGGAACCAGACTAGCTGGCTTTATTCACGGATGTGTAACTGATTGCAAAAACAATGTGGACTAACTACATTTGGTAAATAAATGGGGTCAGTATTTGAAGAAAAAAAAGTCAGGTTTTTTTTTCCCAACGATGGTCGGCCGACCATTGTTGGAAATTGATACAAAAATTCCACTTTTCTTAAAAATGACAGCACACCAGGTGCCATGATTTCACGAGATGTTTGAGACTACATGTATTATTCACTTACAGTCAAGTAAGGTACCGGTACATTGCACAATGTATTTCATAATAATTTTGTACATGTAGTTTTATTTTTTGATGTCTGCAAATATTATATATTTTTGTGCCTTTAATGTAGAGGTAGAATAATGAGTTTGGCCCCCCGTTTCAGATGAGATTCCCACACTTATAAATACATGGTATATTCAGGGGAAGAACCCGGTTTGTTTTGTGCAAATCAACATTTTACAATGTAGTTTGACATTTGTTTTAAAGATATAGTCCATCATTTGTAATTAGTGCATTTTGTTCGATTGAAGCAACAAAAGTGTTCAAAATCTAATGAAGGATACTGAACAACTTACTTGATGAAGTTTCAGCTCAGCTTCAGCTTCATATTCCGAGAAAAACAGCATTATAGGATCTCAATTTAAAATCAAAAGTTGCTAAATCATGTTTCGAATTGTTTTGAATTGCAGCTTTACGCGATGTTGCGCACTGATCCAACGAATTATAGAAACCGCGCGCGCCTGTGCGTCGTTCCAATGCTTGTGCGCGCTGCGCCGAATAACAAAACGAACTACTAATTTAAATTGTCCTACGGTGCTGAAATGCCTTCTTTCGTTGATTTCTTCAAAATGACAGCTTCCCAGAAAGGATAATTTCACAGGGAGTTTAGTCCCCTTACTATCTTTCAACCAGTATGTTTTTCAACAATAATTACGCCGGTTACTTTTTTGGATAGCTGCAAATGATGGACTCGGGCTTTAAATAACCATCGGAAATTACTTGGAAAATGCTTTCTTGGAAGTATTGCTCAATTTTTGTTTCGTAAGTAACTCTGTACAGGATGCACTCCCATTTTCTCTTTATCCTGTGAACTTTCACTCAACTTGAAAAGAAACTTACCAGGGTTCAACCTTATTTTGTTTTATAACTCGCCAGCCGGACTACTGAAACAACCCGCATGTTTTTTCTTTTATAGAGTGTCTCATAAACAACAATGTGCATGCATTGTTGTAAAATGTGTATAGAGCCTGCAAGTTGAAAGTGGCGTGCTTTAGGGCCCCTCCAAAAGGAAAATTAATGTGTTGAAGTCATATTTTAAAAAAAAAATTTGCCAAATTGATTTTCTAAAGAAAATCACCCTTGGAATTTTATGGAAACTGGAAAAATCGCATGACGTCAATTGCAAGTCAGCACCTATATTGTTTTGTTCTAAGTATCATTTTCCCTTCATTTACGTCACAACTACTCTTTGAGAAGCAACCTATCCACATCCTTTAAAGAACATTGATCAACATCAACTTCCGTAAAATGGATTTGAGTCAATGTGTGACTCATTTTTCTTGATTGCATCACAAGTTTTGTTTCCTTTTATCCCTAATTTTGATGGCCATATGTTCTTCTGAATTCTGAATAAAAAAAATCCCCCAAAACAAAAACAATTAAAAAACAAAAATCCACATAAAAAAACAAAAACATATCCAACGAACAAATATTACCTGTCTAGTCCTTCCTCCGTTGGGTTCCAAAACTCTGCAATCCTGTTTGGATAAAAAAAATCAGCAAAACAGAATTTTGTTAAAGGTAGAGTATTTGGGAAAACAATATTCTAGGATCTGGATTTCAATTCAAAAGTTGCCGATTGAGTCATGATTTGAATTGTGCCCGAAATCAGTTACGCAATGCCAGAAACTGAACCGACAAATTGTAGCAACTGCGCATGCGTGTGCGTCGTGTCAACGCTCTCATGCGTCCATTCACGGCTTCGCCGAATTAAAAACGAACAACTAATGGAAATTTCCAAAAATGCACATTTTGAAACGATCTTCTTCTATTACTTTCTTCAAAGGACAGTATGCCAGAAAGAATAATTGCAAAGGATGTTTAGTGCCTTTCTTTAAACCAAGTAAGCGTTTCAACAATAAATTTGTCAGTTACTTTCTGGATAGCTGCTAATTACATGTATGTACTCAACATTTAAGTCTTTAACCACTTGCCACTGAGATCATGTTTTGGTCGAAAAACACCATTTGTGAAATTTTTTTTAAATTAACTCAAATACTGACTCTTGAGAGTCATCTGTTCAATATTAACACGATACTTCTCATCGAAGTAATCGTTGGACCCTGTTGGATTTTAGCAGGGCAGTCCTGAGGATCCCTCAGGGGGTTAGGGTTAGCAGATAATCACCTCTTGTGGTAGATCTTGGAGACCTGATGCAGGGTCTTCATGTTCCGTTTGACAATCTCAACACAGGTGATGGTCTTGCTGATGGCCGAGGCTGAGCCGGTGAAGATGATGCGCTTCGTGCCTTCTTCCTATGTGAAAAACAGAGGACAAAGTGATAAAGATATGTTACAGTGACGTTTTCCAATACAGTTTATTACGTACTTTTCGTGGCACAGTTCTTTACAATGCATTTCCATCTTGCAAAAACCATTTACAACAGCCATCACATCAAGGCCACGCTAGCTGGCCACGGACTAAGATTTAATTACTCCGCTTCAAGGAAGTGAAGTATCAGTTTGGATAAAATCGCACTGTCCCTTTTAATGTTGTGCATGGGGTTGGACTGACCTGAGGCCAAACAGACCCAAAACATTATAGATATAAATCGAATCCGAACCACATCGATTTGAACTCCCCTTATCCGACTTGACCCAATAAAAATTCAAGCAAAAACCGACCTGAACCCACCAGAAACCGTACAAGTACATTCGCACGGTGGGTTGACATTGGTCGTACCGAGAACGGTAACTCCGCAATAAATTGCACCGCATGAATTTTAGAAGTGTTTGTTATTTTTCAAATTGTTTTGGTTTATTTCGGGTCTGTACCTTAATTTTCTTCAAGGCAAACCCGAGAAGATTCCGCAGTTTGCTGCCATTTTTGACCCTCATGATTGTGACGCCAGCCAGGTCAAGACCGAGCCTGGAGAATAGCTTGTCTTCTTGATCCTCTGGTATCTCCACCGCCTCTTCTTCTTCAGGCTGGAACTGATGCATCGCGATGCCACCCTCATTAACCACTGTCTCGTCACGTTCGTAATGATCCACTGCAAGGCAAATGACGAGAAGTACAAAATGTTTTAGTCTGTACTTAAACCGAGCTTTAAAATAATATTAATAGGACTTTAAAATTAAATGATTGTACTAGTGAGTAGTGTAGCTCAACTCGCCGAATGTTGCAACCTGACGCTACACATGTACATACTATAGGCCAACATGCACTTACGCGATTGTGTAAAAAGTTTTATATGAAAAGTTAACCATGTCAACAGAATTTTTCAAATATCGTCAGACCACCTAAAACAAAGAGGATCTATTTTGACGCACTCTCATTCGAATTCGCTCTCATTTAATTTGCGTTGGATAACGCGCGTGCTTTGTACCGTACCTGCGGCTGCGCCGATTATCAAAATTGGAAATAAATGTTTCTCATTTTTGCAATGACTGACATGACTGGCCGTCATTGAATTAGGATGCTTACTCATTGAAAGCGAGATCCGTCGTGTAAGGGTACAAAAGAAGGCACTAAAATGTCACAAAATACACAGACGACGACGTTGGTCGCACTTGTCGACTCATGGACGCTGCTAGACCCGTGAACGTGGCTATATACATAGCCACGCTTCAGTCTAAAGTAAAAACACTCTATTGTGATCCGCTGTTACTAAAATGGAGTGACCGTTCTAGCCGAATTTCGGCTACATTTGACAGAATATTTGCATACAAAAATGAGTTGTACAGAAAATCAGCAGAATATTTTTTTCGGCAGAATTATGAAGATGAAGGAAAATGAAAAAGATTGGAAAGAAATATGGCACATTTGGTTTGAAAAACCTTCATTTTTTTTTTTTTAAATCCTTAAAACAAACCCTTGCACAATGGAACAGCAATATAAACTGGGTGATTTGGCAGACTTTCGAAGTGGATTTAGCAGAATTTTACATGGTATTACGGTCATCCTGCCATGTAAGACGATTAGTCGGGTACCCACTGGTGATACTTCTTCCGTTTTGCGCATGCGGAACTCGGGGTACCAGAGTGTCATGCCTGTCTTTGATTTTCTGATCATTTTGAAAACATTCGTTGTGACAAAGTTGTGCCGTACTTTACATCAAATTTCTTGGCAATGCCAGATCCAACACTCGCGGAAATTCACAGGAGGACCAACAAGTAAGTGATTCACATATGGGCAAAATTATACATGATAATATGTAGCGGATCAAAAGATAGAATGCTGTCGCTTGTATTTACCCGACGGTAGCGCGTGGCGTTGTATACAACGCCACGTTCACGGGTCTAGGACGCTGCCATCTTGAAAATGGCAATTTTTGAACATTGGCGGCGCGCTTTCACTTGAGGGACTTTCTGCACAAAATGAAAATAGGAGGTATAATTTTCTCCAACAAAATAGAGTTTGGCCTACCCTTCAGCTTTCTCTAAGCATGTTTAGTTTGTACGGAATATTCCATTTTCAAGGGCATTCTTCTCTAGTGGGATATATCAGACGTATACCCCGCGGCCCTGACAATCATGGGCGTCGCCAGGATTTTTTCTAGAGGGGGGCAAAACATATTTTTGCAAACATAATGCCGGTATTTCTCAACACATTCTCGATTTATCAGTTTTAGAGGGGGGCAGGGACATTCCCCCCCCCCCCACCCCATTAAATTTACACCACTATCACTTTGCGCCTCTTTTTCTTTTCTTTTTTCTCTTCCTTTTTTGGGGTTGCTTTTCCAGCCCCCCCCCCCCTCGCGACGCCCATGCTACCCCAAATGATGCCGACAAGCGTATTACTAGGCGAGCGGCGGAATCCAATAAATGCCCCACCCTACACACACCTACATTAGATAGCCTTGACCAAGGCTATCAGCTTGTTCCCGTTATTCAAGCATGTTCAAGCGTATATACTTTGCGACGCTGACAAGCCTTTCTATGGGACTTTTTGCACAAAATGAAACTAGGGGGTAAAGTTGATGGCGACTCGAGGCCCGATGATCATATCCAGGATTTTTTACGACAAAGATGAAAGGACAGGAAGAATTTATTAAATTCAGAAAGCAATTAGACTGTATCAATTTGTGTCTGTATCAATTTTATTAACTGTTTAGGGTTAAAATATTCGATCTGTTTATTAAACACACTGACAAGAATTCTCACACTTATGCCGTGAATCCTCTTTTAACAGAACACCTGACCAGCCCAGTTATATTCAGGATTTTTGTCTAGATTTTATCTCCTCAGGGCAGTTTAGCACCACATGTAATACCTTCCACCAGCAGGGAACAATTAGTGTCGCTTGACTGAACCACTTGTTGGGCATGCCTGAATCATTCTTCAGTGGCCCAAATGCAACTAGATTTTTCATAAATTAAATATCAAACTTAGTATTGTAATGAAACCATGATTTCCTTTTTTTTTTTGATAACTGAAGTTGATGCACAAACAGCAGAAATCATGAATTTGTTGGACTGTAAGTGTGGTCGCTGCGGCACACGAACTGCAGAATGAGAGTGTATGAATTCCTATACCCACAGAGCGTGGACTGGCTTCCTGTGGTGTAACTAAAGGCCTTTTTAACCAGATAATGTTGCACTGGGCTCAGTCAATGATAAACATCGTAATCCTGGTACGAAAGGGGCCCAGGCATTTAAAAGGGAAAACCACCACATGAATGTGGCCCAGGTTCGATTCCCGGCTCGGACCATATGTGAGTAGATTTTGTTTGTTGATTCTCTCTGGTGCTATGAGGGTTTTCTCCAGGCTCTGCATTTTTCCTCCCTCTGCAAAAATCAACACTTTTGTTCTTGCTGACGTTGCTCTGTGATCAGACCACATGGGTTGTACGGTGGCTGCCTAAGGCACCTTTACAAGCCTCCGGCTTGACCACGTTGTAACCGCGTCCTTCAGCTTCTCAGCTGCGTACTAGGATGATTAGCCCCAATATAATTGTTATTATTGACAAAAAGACTATGGGCTCTCCCTTACAATTGTCAACTAGACAATGCCTTTGCATTCTCATACTGCTTCTTGGATGCTCCAGATGATTCTGTCCATGAAAATGACCATCTGCCGTTCATGCGTTGAGTCGATGACCACATTCTGAGACCTTGTACCATGAACACTGTTCTCCAGCACTGTTGGCAGAGGTCATCTTTGTTGTCAACTTAGCAAAGCCTTTGCCTCGTCATACTGAACCGTCACAGGTTTCCCGGATGCTCTAGATGATTCTGTCCATGAAAATCTCAGAAAATCCACCTCAATGTCAACCTGTTGACAAAATTGGACACACTGTAAAAATAAAATAATACTCTCAAATTAAACTTTTAAGAACCCATAAGAACAACTGATATGACCTCCATATAAGATGTTCAGCACTCTTTGCATGCCCAGGGCACCATAGTGGCCCGAACATGGAGTAAAATGGTAGAACAAAATCGTTGGAAATTTGTCAACATTTCTATTAAATTTTTCTGGTTTAGGGCCAAAGCCTTTGGCTTGAGCAATTTTCGCCAGCCAGACCTTAACCGATTTTAAACTGCATATTTACAACTGCTCTATCACATTTTAAGCCTTTTTCATACTCGGCGTGAAAGCGAAAGCAAATGCGAACTTGTGACGTCATGGCAAGTATTCGCGCTGCATATTTCAACTCGGGCAAATTTTGCAGCGAATGTTTCACGACGTCAAATTCTCTTTGCATTCACATTCGCATGAAGTATGAACCAGGCTTTGTTGTTCCCTTATTTGTTATCCATGGACGATTTGCCACAAATTTTAGAACTCTTCTTTAACACTTTTTCTTTCCAGAAATCAGTCATTCGACTGATCATCGGAAATCACCTACATTTCTTGATTTCTTCTAAATTACAGCAAGCCAGACGGAATAATTTCAAGCCTTTTGTGGAGGGCCGGGGAAACAATTGATAGGCGCGCATTACACAACAAAAAAATCACCACAAGAAAAGAAAATTTACAACAGCAAACTAATCAAAATTCCAGCAACTTTTTGTGCTGAAATAGCTGTAACATTAAGGTTTTTGTCCAGAATGACATCACAGCTTTGCTCATGAATGTGAACATTTGCATTAGCATAAAAAAATAAAAAGGCACCCAAAAAAAATCTTCAAAATGGCAAAACAAATATTGAAAAGTACGGTTAAATGGGACACAAAGATGCATTTTTAAGGATGGCATTAAAAAAATACATTGCATGGGCCCTTTAATGAAAACGTACCGATTTCTGTTTGTGAAACTTGTAGCTCGCTGGCAAATCAAAACGTAACTCTGTAAGACAAAAAAGCAACATTTAAATCACCAATGTCGTTTAGAGGATACAGTGTTTATAAGAACGGATCTATGTTATAGATAAATGAAAAAAACCAAAATCAAGAAGAACATCACCAACAGCAAGAACCCACCTGCAACAACTTCCATATGCGTGCCCCATTCCTTGGCTTTCTTCTCAATATGCTGTTAAAAATTAAAAGAAATTCAAGATTGCTTCAGTTGTCTCCAAAAATTTTAATGTTAAACCCAGTACCCTTGAGTTTGTTAGGGGGGGGGGGGGGGGGGAGACACGATGTATTTTGGGGCACAGGTTCACTGTTCAAGGCATGTGCCCCTCCGCCTCCCCCTTGTGCCCCCCCCCCCCCACTCATAATTTGGGGGAACGCAAAAATCTGTTTTCTGTTTCAAATGTATCACCTACCCGTTCAGAAAATGAGGCCCCCTAGGTACTTTGTATGAAAATGGCGACTTCAGAGGAATAATTGGGGTGGTTATGTAACGGGCTAAATGTGATACAAGATTGATAAACCAGTTTGGTATCACGATGAAGTAGTCCAGGTCAAACGTCATTCAGGATAAAATCACTGACGTGATGTTAGGCGATGTTACGCGGATGCCCATTCTGCTTGTAACTAACACACGAGCGTTGTGCGTCCATCTCCCTGTGCGTTCATGCATCTTCGATGATCTTTTGATTATCCCGAATGACAGGGACCCACATCATCGTGCGCATACACAGTTGAAATACCGAAATGTCTTATGAAACCACATTCTCTTTGAAATGGCGTACCTGTCTTGTGGATGTTTTATGGAGGGAGTACACTGCAGTGCTAGCCATGTCTAGTGCTTGTCTCAAGAATACCATATCAGTACCTACAGGAAACAGAACCTATTTGATTTATTGAAAAAGAAAAATCAACGTTTTGTGCACATTCACTCATTCAGATAAAAGTACATTTCATATTAGTATTGGTGCACAATGTTGTTAGCCTTTGCACTGCCCAGCAGCATTCATGTTGCATATGTCCCACTAGAGGACATTCTGTTCCCATCCACGAACCTGACTCCGTCGACGAACCGTGCGCCGCTTGTTGGTGAACTGTTTGGCTATTTTTCGGTTTATTTTGGTTCATTTCAGATTTTCCAAAATGGCTTAACCGACTCGACCCGACCCATTAATCACAAGCGCAAACTCGAAACTGAGCCAACCGAAATGATGAACAAACCGAACCAACCCGACCCAACCCGAAGTTGATTTTTGGGTCGGGTCGGGTTTGCACAACACTAGCGCTGAAACATCACACCGCTAATAGGTAAGGACGTCTTGGAAACACTACAAATTCCATATTGTGAATGTCCTTCCTCACCTTTGTTATGCTTGGTCCCAAACGGAGGATTCATGACAACGGTGTCAAACTGCTTGGCCCAACGTCCCGACTCAAGCGAGGTCAGGTCACACTGTAGCAGGTCAACATTTGACCCCAGGTCAAACTCTTCGATGTTCTGGGCGCAGATGTCCAGGGCATCTTCATCAATGTCAAAGCCGACGACCAAGCTATATTGGTTCAGAAAAAAGTAAAAAGGATAAAAACTAACAGACAACAGAGACATTAGTTAAACTTTATGGTTTTATATGATTATTTTTTTAAACTGGAAATTACATCAGGAACTTGTTCAACAACTGAACCCTCCTGCTTTTTAAACAGTCACAGACAGTCAACAATTCCATCCACTTCCGCTGCTATACTTTTAACACAGGCTAGTCACCAGCAGTCAGATTATATGTCAAGCAAGCACTGTGACTAGTCAAACTCAGTCAACAGACAATGAACAGACAAAGCAGGCAAGTTGTGTGCACAGCTGGCTTATCAATTACCCACAGCCAAAGCAAAGCTGTATCAAGTTACATAAACAGTCACCGCCAGTCAATCTTGCTTTATGTAGTCGTCGAAAACGCTGTTATTATCCTCGTGCAAGATATTTAGATTATTTAAAACGTTGAGCAGCTATGCCACGCTTTGTGAAATAGATCGTGAGTTTATTGCGCAAGTCCTACGCATGGCGCATTAAAGTTACCCACTGTTTCGTGAAATCGGCTGCAGGTCTCCTGTCTAATACCTACCCTGCTTGCAGCATGGCAGCGCCGATGCTTAGCACACCACATCCACAGCCCAGATCAGCGACAAGTTTACCCTGGAGATCCCCATACCTAGCCTCCATGGTGTGCAGCATGCACGCTGTCAAGGTGAAGTTGATAAAACAGGATTTATATATAAAAGGATTCAAAAATACTGGAATAAACGTCAGACCTTGTGCTCTTAGCGAGCAGTCTAGTTGAGTCCACCATCACAAGTCCACAAATCTTGGATGCCAGGGACTCGGTCTTGGTCAGGGTGGACTCGACTACAGCCCTGCCTGGTTAAGATCTCACTCTCTCAACTACACTAAGCATTCATCTTATCCTGTCGAATGCTCCCCCTTTTTAGACCCAGTACTGGGGAGCTAGAACTCCATTTTTTGGAATTGTGACTTTGGTTGCTCGTAATAGCACCTCAGACAAAAGTTTTTTTGTCGAATATCCACCTCAAAAAGTTGCCAACATCACGGCAACGACTTGACAAAAATACCTAATAAAACGCCTACTGGCTTTTCCACATTTCAAAGACAAAGTTCTGGCGCTTCAATGGTGCTCACGATCATTTTTTGAGCTGCAAATCAATGGAATTTGGCCAGTTTCACGGAGCACCAGACACAGTCGGCTCAGCGTGGTTTTCAATTCATGCGTTTTATGTATGGACGTTAAAATTCCGATTCGTTTGAATGGCAAGGGAGTGCAGTCGTTTGACTTGCGCTAGGCGCGCACTTAGTATAAAGTCAACAAAAACGTCATTTGGTCGTGGATATTGACACTTCATGACAGCTGCTTTAGGATTGAGTGCAGCAAAATTGTTGTCATGTGATTATTATTGTCATGTGATAAACGTGTTCCCTTCTTCAAGGGTACGGTCAAAATTTGTAACGATTGACCAAAGTCAAAATTCGAAAAAAAAAAGGAGTTCTGCCGCCCCAGTTACTAGCCCCTTTTACCCCACCTGCAATATGAGGCCTGGTTGGGTACTGCTCCAGGAGAATCTTTGGCATCTCAAACACATCCACTTGCTGCAGGTTGCTCTCTAATTGCTTCAGCTTCATCTTGACTCGACAGACATCGTTATGTCACTGGACAAATTTTTGTAAAGAATTTTGATAAGGATATTATTATATAGGCCCCCCTATAGTATGTTATAGCGGTTACACACCCATGTTCCGACTGCACATATTCCTAACCCAAACCCTAAACCTAATCCTAATCCTAACCAGGAGTAACACAATCTTATTAGCGGGTTGTAGGAACATAGGGGTTTCGGAACATATATAAAGCAGTCACCGTTATACATGTAGCTCCGTGTATAATCTTTCCAAACAATTACACTTCGATCCTGTATAATGTTAGATGGGGTTTTACCTACTATCATTATTGACAAAGCCTGGGCAAGCATAGTCCCACTAACTGGGTCGCTATAACTCCTTTTTTGACATTTGGGATGTTACTGTCCTAGTAGGCCTACTACAGACAAGTACGACAGTAACATCCCAAATGTCAAAAAAGGAGTTCTATAGCGACCCAGTTAGTGGGACTAGGGCAAGCATAACCACACTAACAGTGTACTGCAGGATAACGGAAATCACATTTTGCTACTGGACGTAAGCTTACGCGTAGTTGGCAATGTGAAAAAAGGGGTGGCAACATTTTTTTCACAACTCCGTATCCGCCTAAACAGCTACGCTTACGCTACGAGTACGACTCGTTATGGGATGAGTGGCGGGCTATTCTGCAATTGTGCCTTTTTTCCGACCCTCCAAAACTCTCCTGTTACGAAATGTTCAGCCCCAGTATTTCACATGTATTATCTTGGCATGGTTAGGTACCTAAAAAGGGTGGTTTCAAATTCCCTGATATAATTAATATGTCAAACAAAATTGTGAAATTTACCAGAAAATGTCGCTCCAAGCATCATCATTCACAGAAAGTCCATTCTATCACCTGTCATATACCCCGCAAGATTTGAGACCAAAAATTTTTGCACTATGTGCGTGTAGATACACTACACCCTACACCAATAAAGCGCCCTCACAAGGCAGCAGGGATGAAGCTAGATTGATCACGGACAACCTGCTTATGACGTGACATATCTTTAATATGGAAGCATGCGCATCGGTCATGAACATGTAATTCCAGAACACACAGTTCAATATCCAATCGTGTACCCTCCCTTACGGTCACATGCACACAAAAAGATATACACTGTCTACACAGTGCTAAAGAGGTCTACAGCATCTACACAGTGGTAAAGAGGTCTACAGCATCTACACAGTGCTAAAGAGGTCTACACCATCTACACAGTGCTACACAGTGCTAAAGAGGTCTACAGCATCTACACAGTGGTTAAGAGGTCTACAGCATCTACACAGTGCTAAAGAGGTCTACACCATCTACACAGTGCTAAAGAGGTCTATACACTATCTACACAGTGGTTAAGAGATCTACAGCATCTACACAGTGGTTAAGAGGTCTACAGCATCTACACAGTGGTTAAGAGGTCTACAGCATCTACACAGTGGTTAAGAGGTCTACAGCATCTACACAGTGGTTAAGAGATCTACAGCATCTACACAGTGCTAAAGAGGTCTACAGCATCTACACAGTGGTTAAGAGGTCTACAGCATCTACACAGTGGTTAAGAGGTCTACAGCATCTACACAGTGGTTAAGAGGTCTACAGCATCTACACAGTGGTTAAGAGGTCTACAACATCTACACAGTGGTTAAGAGGTCTACAGCATCTACACAGTGGTTAAGAGGTCTACAACATCTACACAGTGGTTAAGAGGTCTACAGCATCTACACAGTGGTTAAGAGGTCTACAGCATCTACACAGTGGTTAAGAGGTCTACAGCATCTACACAGTGGTTAAGAGGTCTACAGCATCTACACAGTGGTTAAGAGGTCTACAGCATCTACACAGTGGTTAAGAGATCTACAGCATCTACACAGTGCTAAAGAGGTCTACAGCATCTACACAGTGGTTAAGAGGTCTACAGCATCTACACAGTGGTTAAGAGGTCTACAGCATCTACACAGTGGTTAAGAGGTCTACAGCATCTACACAGTGGTTAAGAGGTCTACAGCATCTACACAGTGGTTAAGAGGTCTACAACATCTACACAGTGGTTAAGAGGTCTACAGCATCTACACAGTGCTTAAGAGGTCTACAGCATCTACACAGTGGTTAAGAGGTCTACAGCATCTACACAGTGGTTAAGAGGTCTACAGCATCTACACAGTGGTTAAGAAGTCTACAGCATCTACACAGTGGTTAAGAGGTCTACACCATCTACACAGTGGTTAAGAAGTCTACAGCATCTACACAGTGCTAAAGAGGTCTACAGCATCTACACAGTGGTTAAGAGGTCTACAGCATCTACACAGTGGTTAAGAGGTCTACAGCATCTACACAGTGGTTAAGAGGTCTACAACATCTACACAGTGGTTAAGAAGTCTACAGCATCTACACAGTGCTAAAGAGGTCTACAGCATCTACACAGTGGTTAAGAGGTCTACAGCATCTACACAGTGGTTAAGAGGTCTACAGCATCTACACAGTGGTTAAGAGGTCTACAGCATCTACACAGTGGTTAAGAGGTCTACAGCATCTACACAGTGCTTAAGAGGTCTACAGCATCTACACAGTGGTTAAGAGGTCTACAGCATCTACACAGTGCTTAAGAGGTCTACATCATCTACACAGTGGTTAAGAGGTCTACAGCATCTACACAGTGGTTAAGAGGTCTACAGCATCTACACAGTGCTAAAGAGGTCTACAGCATCTACACAGTGGTTAAGAGGTCTACAACATCTACACAGTGGTTAAGAGGTCTACAGCATCTACACAGTGCTTAAGAGGTCTACAGCATATGGTATCCGGTCAACTCGGACCCAAATCAACTAAACTCATGCCAACTCAGACCCACGCCAACTCGGACCCACGCAAACTCGGACCCACTACCAATTCAGACCACTACCATTTCGGACCAACGGCCAACTTTGAACCACTACCAAATCGGAACCACTACCCTTTCGGACCCAAGCACGACCAACTCTGACGATGATTCAATCATTAGTTTCATGGATTATAGGTCATCTTACAGTGTCAGATGTATTCTGTATTATATTCGGCTTTTATTGTTTTCTTTTGCCGTCGCTGAGCGGTACTTTATGATGTGCATGGAAGTTGTTGCTAAACGCTTATCGTTTTGAACGTCATGAAACTCAACGTGCTTAGCTTTTCGAAACCGTGACTTAACCATGGCGGGAATATCTGTATATGAAGCTAAACCAAGAGATGTGTACGTACATGTAAAGCAGGTTAGGCCCAAAGATTAGGCCTACCATATATCATTTTGTACAGGCTGGTATATATGTTTTAAGGAGCGTCCCGCCAAAGTTGAAATTAATTAGTTGATTTACTTGTCATGGGCTGTTTTTGTTGTGTGATGATTCATTGGAAAGCTCATTACTAAAAATTATCAACTTAATTTGAAAATGTTTGTTCAAGGTGCTTCACCCAACAAAACATGTATACATGTACACCAACTTTAAATCCCTTTAAAGCCTGGTTCCTTACAAAATGGTAACCTTAAGCCTGTTGAAGCAAAACATTATGTAACTGTAATCGATTAAGAGAACAAAATCATATTTTTCGTTGTGACTGTTGGTCCGCCATGTTGGGGTATTTAATTTTGACTAGGCGTTTGTAATTAAGTTCGATGTTTGAAGACACTGCCGCGCTTATGCCATGCTAACGTAACACTAAATCAATTTTATTCGACACGGCATAAGCACATTTGAAAGAGGCCTTACCAAATTGTTTATATTTTTGATCTGTGATGAACGGTAACCTGCTCGCATCAAATTACAGATGTGCACAATGTAGACCTACATTGTACATATATCTTTGATATACGATCACTACGACGAACGGTAACCTACACATTTGTTGTTATTTTAGGATGTGAAACAAATGGCAACCGAACAGTATTATTTATGTACTACGAGGCAGTGAACATGTTTCAGTGAGGTCAGAGGATGTTTTTCATTTGAAATCACTATTTAGGCAAAAAAGTAATCGACTATTTTTTTTTATTCACATGCTTACTTTGATTGTTGTTCTTTTAACTGATTTGTTTAACTTTTTATACTTTTATATAGATTCATATGGAACCTTCGTTTTCTTATAAAGTGTATGCAATGGTGTTGATGTATCTTTTAAATCAAACGTTTTTTTATTTTTTTCATATTTTTTTGGCACTTGGAAATGGCAAGTTTCGTTTATTCAAACTGTAAGGTAGTTTTATAGTTATTTATATTATTTGTTACCCATCTAGGCTGTTAATTTCATATTCAAAATATGCTGACTTTTGTGGGTGTTTTGAAGTTGCTTATAGTTTAGATCCGTGAATGGTTTATATCTTATATTTTATTTATTGACTTTAGTTTTATCCAGTATTATATACAAATGAATAATGTTTTGTTTGCAAGTATTTATATTTCAATGTTCATGCTTTCCGATTTTATTTTTCTATGAAGATCTGTGCTGGATGTGTTAATTTCGTTACGTATAAAGTTTGGATTGAAAATGAAATAACATGAGAAAAATGGCATGAACGATATCACTTAACATGTGTTAATTTTTAAAAAAAATTAATAAATAATAAAATACAATTTTAGTAAAAGTTTTACTAGAGTTATCGCATTACAATTACGATGAAAAATTATACTAAACAGCATCACTGTAACACATGTAACTTGAACGGAATGGGGAATGTTTGAAAACGTGCATAATGAGTCCGAGTTGGTTGTGGGTCCGATTTGGTAGTGGGTCCGAATTGGCATGGGTCCGAGTTGGCTTGGGTCCGATACGTGCACAGTGCTAAAGAGATGTTGAAGACCCCTTTAGCATTATATAGATAGTGTAGACCTCTTTAGCACTGTGTAGATGCTGTAGATCTATTTAGCACTGTGTAGATAGTGTAGACCTCTTAACCACTGTGTAGATGCTGTAGACCTCTTAACCACTGTGTAGATGCTGTAGACTTCTTAACCACTGTGTAGATGCTGTAGACCTCTTAACCACTGTGTAGATGCTGTAGACTTCTTAACCACTGTGTAGATGCTCAGTGTAGGCCTCTTAACCACTGTGTAGATGCTGTAGACCTCTTAACCACTGTGTAGATGCTGTAGATCTCTTAACCACTGTGTAGATGCTGTAGACCTCTTAACCACTGTGTAGATGCTGTAGATCTCTTAACCACTGTGTAGATGCTGTAGACCTCTTAACCACTGTGTAGATGCTGTAGACCTCTTAACCACTGTGTAGATGCTGTAGACCTCTTAACCACTGTGTAGATGATGTAGACCTCTTAACCACTGTGTAGATGATGTAGACCTCCTTAGCACTGTGTAGATGATGTAGACCTCTTAACCACTGTGTAGATGATGTAGACCTCCTTAGCACTGTGTAGATGCTGTAGACCTCTTAACCACTGTGTAGATGATGTAGACCTCTTAACCACTGTGTAGATGATGTAGACCTCTTAACCACTGTGTAGATGATGTAGACCTCTTAACCACTGTGTAGATGATGTAGACCTCTTAACCACTGTGTAGATGCTGTAGACCTCTTAACCACTGTGTAGATGCTGTAGACTTCTTAACCACTGTGTAGATGCTGTAGACCTCTTAACCACTGTGTAGATGCTGTAGACCTCTTAACCACTGTGTAGATGCTGTAGACCTCTTAACCACTGTGTAGATGATGTAGACCTCTTAACCACTGTGTAGATGATGTAGACCTCCTTAGCACTGTGTCTATGCTGTAGACATCAAAGCTCTGGCACTGTGGCAGAAACTAGTTCCAATCATGGAGCTGTGTTTTATAGCTCCATGTTCCCATTAATATTATATTGAGGGGTGTTTCGCATGCTCAGTATGT